ATATAGTTTATATAGGGAAATAACACTTTTCGGTATATATTTTATCCATTTTCAGCAGAAAATTGCTCAAACTTAGTCAGAATCATCTTGGGTAAATGAGAGTTTTACTTTGTAAAATTAGGATTCCTGCCCCATCCCCAGGGGCTAGGGCGGGGCCCCAAAGGGAACATTTACCAATATTTTCAAATTCTTATCCATTGATGACATGACAAGTATTGTATTTCACTTAGTTTACATGCTGATTTCCACATCACATCTAAACAATAAAATAAAGCTACCAGTATCTATGATATAACTCAGGTGACCGCTAAGGCCCTTGGGCCTCTTGTTTTTTGACCTTACCAGACAAAAAATACAAAGTGAGCTACATGTATATTTTCTGTTTAGTCTTTATCAATCAAATTACTTAATCAAAATTCTAAGAGTGATAGAGGCATTTCTTGTAATACATCACACTTTATTCTAACAGTTGTTGTCCTTAAAAATACTTATTCAGAGTGATGTTACTATTTCCTGTGTTTAGGTGTAGAGAGTTTGAAAAAGGCAGGTTAATATATCATGCCGATTAATACATATTCAATGTAGATATGTTTTGAATAGAACATTGCAAAATGTAAACTGAATTTGTTGTAGATGAGTAACCACTTACAAAAAATTGCCTAAATTTGCCTGTTTTAACAACCTAAGTAGAAAGCACTCTTTTTCACCAAGCAATTTACTCATATCTTTTTAAAACAAATTTGGAGAAAACAACACAGACATTTCAAATGTAAAATTTGACTTTGTGCTTTGTTACAAGTTCTGTGATTGTTTAATATTAGTACATGTGACCCAAAAAACAGCTATTGTGTGATATCAGTATGAACAGCAGGATTAGACACTTACTAAATCATTTGATAGTCCTACGTCAATGCAACTAGTCCAAGAAAATCACAGGCCATGTGCACATGGTTTAGGGAAAGGGAAAGGGCTTGATATAAGTTGTAAAACTTTTGCACAATTCCATTGCTATGTTAAAAAGGCAATAAGATATGTTTAAAACACATGGTTTAGGGAAAGGGAAAGGGCTTGATATAAGTTGTAAAACTTTTGCCCAATTCCATTGCTATGTAAAAAAGGCAATAAGATATGTTTAAAACACATGGTTGGAGGTATTTAAGTTAGCCGTTAGCCTGACAGTTCTCTTTCTGTACTGTAGAGAAATATGTGTTTCTTGTTGTCAAGTTCATGCTGAAGGTACATAAAAATTGATAATTAAAAAAAACTTTGCAAAGTGTTATCAAAATTTATTCATTCATGAAGGTTTATTGCTTATTTGTTGACAGACACGCATGAAGGCGATGATCCAGACCTATCGGTGGTCTCATTTGACATAGCAGCAGAGACGGTTGTCACGACAACAAATCTACCGCTACACGACACAGAAATCAACATAATCAATAGCCAATCAGAGACCTGTAATGATGTTGTGTGCCCGTCCCTTTTGTTTGACGATGTTGGAAATATTACTGGGTCGGAGTCGAGTGAAGCTCTGGGAAGTAAACTAATATCTGGTTCTGATATCACAGAATCCGAGTTATCTGCCTTGAATATGTGTCTGGCACAGACTGATACTGTAAGGTACGACAAACTGGACCGGTATTAATGATACTGTTATCTTTCTCAAGCGTGGATTCTGTGCTCAAACCAACTTACTTTTAACACACTTATATAACAGAGAGGTCACTATTTTTTCAATGTCTCCACTAGGAGCCGAACCAGGAACCTCTGGCTAACTAGTCTTATGCTCTACCGAATGAGCTAAAGAGTTTTTTACCAGGGTTACACTTACTAAGATAATTGTGCCAAGTGTAAACCCTGAAAATGATATTCTGCTCTTGCGAATTCTGACAAATTATTGTCAAATTGTGAAGTATTATTGATGTATCAAAGGAAAAAGTATTTGGGCTCGAGCACAAAATCTGAGTTTGAGCATGAGAACAGTTTCATGAATATGAGCCAAGAAATTCCAGTGATATTTCAGGAGCGTATAATTTCCTATTTAAATTACTAAGCCAGCAGGCAGATTTCAAAAGCTTCGACTACGGTGTTTTACTAAGTATTAACGTGCTAGTCATGAGTGAAATACTCACAATTTTTCAATTTGTTTCGTTGATAATTTGTTTAACCATCAGATGCATTGAAATAACAATCCTGCATACATTTAAGTATTCAAAACATCTTTATTGCATTTCATTCTTTTTAGTGAGTGCATTCCTTTTACAAATGGCTCAGAATTTCTTTACATTACAAAAGTAATTTTGTTGACAAATTTTGTTGGTAATTTAGTCGGAAAAATGTTAATGGGGATATCTTGTTTATTTGTTCCTTTTGAACAGTCAGAGGTCAACTGTAAATAACAACATACAGAACCAACTCTTCGTCACATCGGATGTGACAGAATGTGACCCCCAGACTGTCCTGTCCCTGGAGGACGTGACTAAACGAGAGAGGGCGCGGCTGTTAAAACAAAGACTACGGAGGAATCCCTCCTTCAGGTATGTCTTCATTGCCGTTACCAAGCTCCCAAAGTTAGTTAAACAGGTGAAATTTATAAAAAACATAGCAAATTTCTAAAAATTCAATGACTCAAATTGAAGAAATATGAGTATAACAAACCAACAATGAAGGTCTGTTAATCACTTCCCTTGGATAGAAAGTCCAATTGAGAATCACTTGCCCGCCTTTTTCCATAATCAATTAAATGCTTACTTTCTCCAGAGAAAAGGAAAAAGAGCAGGCAAGAGCCAGAATGAGAAATAAAAGGAATGACCCTGAGTATCGGGAAAAAGAACGAAGAAAGGACAGAGAAAGACGTAAAATGGTGCGGCATGTGAACGAAGAGGCCCGCCAAAAGGAACGTGAAAGGGACAAAGTTCAAAAGAGGGTCATTAGGGAAAACATGAAGGAACTAAAACAATTACATAATCATGAATCTCTGGTGAATGTGGCAGACACTTTGTATGTGGAAAACTGTTTTGTAATATCAGACTCAAGTGAACAGGGCTACTGGACAAGTGAGCATGTGATTGGTTCAAATTCTGATTCTATCATCCAATCAGATTCAAGGACAGATGAGGAGGATGGTTCACTGATACCTCTTGACTTTGTTGACAAAGTAACAATTGATTCAAGTATTGGGTGATATTTCCATACCTATTAAGTTATTAAAATAATTTTAAAATGAAAATTGGTGCGTACTTGTTTTTGTTATGCATTTTTGTATATGTCGAAATAGGTGTTTGTATAATGTATTTGCACCTTGTGACAAGTCTGAGAGTATATAGGGTCTGGTCCTGCACCACCACCATACAAGGACTGGAACCTGGGACCTCCAAACTCTAGATGAGCACTTTTAACCAATTGCCCTTTATTTGAAAATATGAGCAAATATATTTGAGGTTTTAATGAGCATTCAAGTGGTAGCAATGTGTTATTAAATGTATTAGTCTATTTATCATTGCCGGTTCAAAAGAATAATAAAGCGCTTATAACTGATGAACTTATCATTGTTATACTAGTAAATATTTTCATAATAGTATTTTCATTTTCAAAGCACTTTGTTAAGATATTTGGAGAACTTAAAAAAAAAAAACAAGAAAAACATGTCCTTAATGCAAGATACATGTAGGAACTGATTTATTAGAAGTCTTAAAATCGGCCCACTGTCAATTAGTGGTTATTGAGTACATGTCCTTAGAGTCAACATCTTTCTGCAGGCTTGAATTAATTTCTCATATGATTGTAGCAAAACTTCTTGTATATTTGACCTTCACGGGCCAATAAGTTGTTATGGCTGGCTATGGATTCTCAATTATCGTTGACGATTGATTGTGTCAAAATGTATTACATTAACCAGTTGTTGTCTGTAGATTACCGTGTCATAGATGTTGATGGATTGCTTCCTAGTGTATTACATTAACCAACTATTGACAATGAATAACTTCGTAATAGTTAACTATGGATTGCTTTATGATGTATTACATTAACCAACTATTGACAATGAATAACTTCGTAATAGTTAACTATGGATTGCTTTATGATGTATTACATCAACCAACTATTGAAAATGAATAACTTCGTAATAGTTAACTATGGATTGCTTTATGATGTATTACATTAACCAATTGAGACTATGGTCTACTTCATAATAGTTTACCATCAATTGCTGCACAAAGTATTGCATTAATCTGTGGTTGTGTATGGGTTACTTGTAGTAATTGACTATGGATTTCTTCATAATGTATTACTTAATTAACCAGCTGTTAACGATGGATTACTTTGTAAAAGTTGGCCATGGATTACTTTGTTATACATGTGTATTACAGTAACCAGGGGTTGACTATAGATTACTTTGTAATAGTTGACTAGAATACTTTGTAATACTTGACTCTAGAATACTATGTGATAGTAGAATACTTTGTAATACTTGACTCTAGAATACTATGTAATGTATTACATTACAAAGTTGACTATGGATTACTTTAAAAAATAACTGGATTGCTTCCTTATTATTATATTAACCTCTGGTTATGTATGGACTACTTTGTAACAGTTTACTATGATTGCTTCATGATTTATATCCTTAACAAGAGCTTGACAATGGATTGCTTGTAGTAGTTGACTCGATTACTTCATAATAGTTAACTGTGTATTGGTTGATAATGTATTCCGTTACCAAGCGCTTGCCTATGGATCAATTACTTTGTAATAATTGAATATGGATTGCTTCATAATTTACTACATTAACTTGTGGTTGAGTATGGATTACTCTGTAGTTGTAATGAATTGCTATATAATGTACTACATTACCTTGCGGTTGAGTATGGATTACTCTGTAGTTGTAATGGATTGCTTCATAATTTACTACTTTAACTTGTGGTTGAGTATGGATTACTCTGTAGTTGTAATGGATTGCTTCATAATGTACTACATTAACTTGTGATTGAGTATGGATTACTCGGTAGTAGTAATGGACTGTTTCATTATGTACTACATTAACTTGTGGTTGAGTATGGATTACTCTGTAGTAATAATGGATTTCTTCATTATGTACTACATTAATTTGTGGTTTTGTATGGATTACTCTGTAGTAATAATGGATTACTTCATTATGAACTACATGAACTTGTGGTTGAGTATGGATTACTCTGTAGAAGTAATGGACTGTTTCATAATGTACTACATTAACTTGTGGTTTTGTATGGATTACTCGGTAGTAGTAATGGATTGTTTCATAATGTACTACATTAACTTGTTGTTAAGCATGGATTACTCTGTAGTAGTAATGGACTGTTTCATTATGTACTACATTAACTTGTGGTTGAGTATGGATTGCTCTGTAGTAGTAATGGATTGCTTCATAATGTACTGCATTAACTTGTGGTTAAGCATGGATTACTCTGTAGTAGTAATGGACTGTTTCATTATGTACTACATTAACTTGTGGTTGAGTATGGATTACTCTGTAGTAGTAATGGACTGTTTCATAATGTACTACATTAACTTGTGGTTTTGTATGGATTACTCGGTAGTAGTAATGGATTGTTTCATAATGTACTACATTAACTTGTTGTTAAGCATGGATTACTCTGTAGTAGTAATGGATTGCTTCATAATGTACTGCATTAACTTGTGGTTAAGCATGGATTACTCTGTAGTAGTAATGGACTGTTTCATAATGTACTACATGAACTTGTGGTTTTGTATGGATTACTCTGTAGTAGTAATGGATTGCTTCATAATGTACTACATTAACTTGTGGTTTTGTATTGATTACTCGGTAGTAGTAATGGATTGCTATATAATGTACTACATTACCTTGTGGTTGAGTATGGATTACTCTGTAGTAATAATGGATTACTTCATTATGTACTACATTTAATTGTGGTTGAGTATGGATTACTCTGTAGTAGTAATGGATTGCTTCATAATGTACTACATTAAATTGTGGTTTTGTATTGATTACTCGGTAGTAGTAATAGATTGCTATATAATGTACTACATTTCCTTGTGGTTGAGTATGGATTACTCTGTAGTAATAATGGATTACTTCATTATGTACTACATTAAATTGTGGTTGAGTATGGATTACTCGGTAGTAGTAATGGATTGCTTCATAATTTACGACATTAACTTGCAGTTGAGTATGGATTACTCTGTAGTTGTAATGGATTGTTTCATAATGTACTACATTACCTTGCAGTTGAGTATGGAATACTCGGTAGTAGTAATGCCTTGCTTCATAATATACTACACTTACTTGTGGTTGAGTATGGATTACTCTGTAGTAGTAATGGATTGCTTCATAATGTACTACATTAACTTGTGGTTGAGTATGGATTACTCTGTAGTAATAATGGATTACTTCATTATGTACTACATTAACCTGTGGTTGAGTATGGAATACTCTGTAGTAGTAATGGATTGCTTCATAACGTACTACATTAACTTGCGGTTGAGTATGGATTACTCGGTAATAGTAATGGATTGCTTCATAATGTTATGTGTTTACCAGAGGTTGACTATTGATTATTTCATAAAAGTTGACGAGAAGTTATTACATTAACCAGTGGTTGATAATGGATTAACGTAAATTTGCGGGTATAGTGTCATTCGGGTATAGTGCACAGGGACGTTTTCGGGGTCAGATTTGAAAGAAGAAAAAATGGAAAAAAATGAAAAACTATTGTACTTGTAATGGTTGACTATTAGAATACTTCATGATAGAATAACATTAACAAACTATTGACTGTTGGTTACTTTGTAATAATTGACACTGGATTGCTTCATAATGTATTATTTTATCCTGCAGTTTATAATGGATTACTTGTAATAATTGACTATGGGAATACATCATTATATATAACATTACCCAGCGGTTGTCCTTAATTGTTCGATATACATTTACCACTACATGTACCTTGACTGTGGATTGCGTTATATTATACATTAGTGGAGCCTTGTACATTGACTGTGGATAGCGTTATATTATACATTAGTGGAGCCTTGTACCTTGACTGTGGATTGCGTTATATTATACATTAGTTAAGCCTTGTACCTTGACTGTGGATAGCGTTATATTATACATTAGTGGAGCCTTGTACCTTGACTGTGGATAGCGTTATATTATACATAAGTGGAGCCTTGTACCTTGACTGTTGATGGCGTTATATTATACATTAGTGGAGCCTTGTACATTGACTGTGGATAGCGTTATATTATACATAAGTGGAGCCTTGTACCTTGACTGTTGATGGCGTTATATTATACATTAGTGGAGCCTTGTACATTGACTGTGGATAGCGTTATATTATACATAAGTGGAGCCTTGTACCTTGACTGTTGATGGCGTTATATTATACATTAGTGGAGCCTTGTACATTGACTGTGGATAGCGTTATATTATACATAAGTGGAGCCTTGTACCTTGACTGTTGATGGCGTTATATTATACATTAGTGGAGCCTTGTACATTGACTGTGGATAGCGTTATATTATACATAAGTGGAGCCTTGTACCTTGACTGTTGATGGCGTTATATTATACATTAGTGGAGCCTTGTACATTGACTGTGGATAGCGTTATATTATACATAAGTGGAGCCTTGTACCTTGACTGTTGATGGCGTTATATTATACATTAGTGGAGCCTTGTACATTGACTGTGGATAGCGTTATATTATACATAAGTGGAGCCTTGTACCTTGACTGTTGATGGCGTTATATTATACATTAGTGGAGCCTTGTACATTGACTGTGGATAGCGTTATATTATACATAAGTGGAGCCTTGTACCTTGACTGTTGATGGCGTTATATTATACATTAGTGGAGCCTTGTACATTGACTGTGGATAGCGTTATATTATACATAAGTGGAGCCTTGTACCTTGACTGTTGATGGCGTTATATTATACATTAGTGGAGCCTTGTACATTGACTGTGGATAGCGTTATATTATACATAAGTGGAGCCTTGTACCTTGACTGTTGATGGCGTTATATTATACATTAGTGGAGCCTTGTACATTGACTGTGGATAGCGTTATATTATACATAAGTGGAGCCTTGTACCTTGACTGTTGATGGCGTTATATTATACATTAGTGGAGCCTTGTACATTGACTGTGGATAGCGTTATATTATACATAAGTGGAGCCTTGTACCTTGACTGTTGATGGCGTTATATTATACATTAGTGGAGCCTTGTACATTGACTGTGGATAGCGTTATATTATACATAAGTGGAGCCTTGTACCTTGACTGTTGATGGCGTTATATTATACATTAGTGGAGCCTTGTACATTGACTGTGGATAGCGTTATATTATACATAAGTGGAGCCTTGTACCTTGACTGTTGATGGCGTTATATTATACATTAGTGGAGCCTTGTACATTGACTGTGGATAGCGTTATATTATACATAAGTGGAGCCTTGTACCTTGACTGTTGATGGCGTTATATTATACATTAGTGGAGCCTTGTACATTGACTGTGGATAGCGTTATATTATACATAAGTGGAGCCTTGTACCTTGACTGTTGATGGCGTTATATTATACATTAGTGGAGCCTTGTACATTGACTGTGGATAGCGTTATATTATACATTAGTGGAGCCTTGTACCTTGACTGTTGATGGCGTTATATTATACATTTGTGGAGCCTTGTACATTGACTGTGGATAGCGTTATATTATACATTAGTGGAGCCTTGTACATTATGTCATGCTACTTTAAACATGCACGCGGTGTTCTCTGGTTTGTCCCGTGGTACTCTGCATTATTTAGACGTCTTATCATCTTTCTCTGTTTGGAGTAGATATTGTACTGTACTAAAATGACTTTTGCTTAGAATACCAGGTATTTTGTGTTAACTGCCATTATAATGTAACAAACAATTCAGACACGCTCCAAAAAATATTTATGTAAATTTAGTATTGAGATAACAAGGCAACATAAATCGATTAAACAACCAAAAGAATTATTTCCATAATAACATTTCAGTAATAATAATATATTTATTTTTCAACGATGCATTTGTAGATAATACTTTGAGTACTTAGATATAGCTAGTAATTAAACTTTAAAGCAAAATCATTTAAATTATATGTATTTACTTTTGGGGACGACTGAATGGCTTGTACATGTATGTTATCATTTCAGCGTCAGTATTCGGACGACCAAATTTGTTTTGAATGAACGATTTTCTTGACACGATTTAGGCACTAACTTTTCTTGATCCATTTCACATTGATCGGAATACAAATAGTTCTTTTTTTTAACCGACGTATAAAGGATCATATGTATTGTTTAACTATCCTTTCACGGTTGGCTTCAGAGGAAATGTGTATTTATCTTCTATAAATTAATATACTTCGTTCTGTGATAGTGGCTGCTGGCTGCATGACTGTTCTTAGCCTATTATTGGCTTGGTGCTTGGTTCTATTCCCCAGTTGCAGTGAGTTAGGCAGGAAGACATGTGGTCATGGCAGCGAGTATCGCAGACAGACGAATGGCTGTGGTGTCCCGGAGCAGGAGAGGCTGTGGGTCCGTGAGCAGCACAGTCGTTGAGGCAAGGGGTTAAAATGATATCTTCACAATGACAGTAGCACTGCTTGGAATGGTAGTGGTCACTGCATGCCTGTGTGTAGATAACTAAACACACCAATAGAAAGGCTCCAAACAATCCCTTATACATCTCTGATATCTGTGGAAGACAAATAATAACCATGCAACGTGTAGTGGTTATGCGCTCTGAGGGGATAACAAACAGGATATCTTGAAATTGATTCTTTTATCCCGGAAACCGAAAGAGCACAATTTGTAAAATATTTATTTCTTAAGCTTTAATAAGTAGGACTATGAATGATTTAAAAAGTACGCCACAGGAATGAAAATATAGCATGATCAACAATCTCAAAATTAAGTAGTTTGTTTCTCCCATGGTCCGAAACACAGTCAGTGGCATTGTAACAAAGATAATCTACATTGTATTAATATAGGAATATGCCAAACTCGAAAACTCTTCAGACCGCCAAGGAAAAGCTGCACACAAAGTGGGGAAGACTACTACGTTTAAAAGTAATTAGATCGCATTTTAATGTAAAAGCCATAATCGAAAGCCATGTGTATGTATGCGTCATCCTTTATAACAAATACTGTCAACGTACTCGCAGTTATGTACATAGACGATATTTGTCAATTAAAGTAGCACATTTGATAGTCGCTATTGCTATAGCACTTTCAGTAAACACTTTAAGCTCTAGATGTTTAGAGTAACTAAATAATACTACATGCACACAAACGTCAATAAAACTTATTCGAATCACAATTGAATCATTTTCAAGATAATATGAGAGACAATAGTACGTAAAGTTCAACAACTCTGTAAGTAATTATTGGATAAACCTATAGTTGTGCATGCCCAACAACAGTGTATATTGATAAAACCAAACAGCTTCAAAAAAGTTATATTGGGAAAATTGTATAAGGTGTCCGACCAAACTCGTTATGCTTAATTAGGACAAAATAACAGTTATTCTTTAGATCATTACTCGATCACCATATTTGAAAAACGACAACTACATATGGCACAGTTAACCCTTTCATCTTCCGAAGAAATAGGATAGGAAGTGATGGAACAGGGACACGTGCAAAAAGTTAACGGAATGACGGACAACGCCATCCCATAATAGTAATTCAAATCCTATCGAAACAAGCATATACACGGGCAAAGTTTCCACTGTGTGGATTGCAAAATAACTTTCACAATCGAGTTGTTTAACTTTTTAATCTAAATTGCGTCACCTCAGTGCTATTCTCCCTTTGTCCCATTATTTAGATTGTAGAAAAAAATCATACTTACCAGTAAGTTATTAGTTAACAATCCTGGTTGTACAAGGTTCAATGTCGCTATGTATGTGAATTTATATTCAGTCGTCCGTACAGCAGATGTTCGTTTTCACTGAACCCTTGGTGATCTTTCTATGTATTATGTCACAAAACCTGATTGGAATGTTAGATACGAAGCAGAGAACCGTTCCTTATGCGTGCGCAGAAAATGTTGAATGACCCTTTGGTGAACAATCTTATCTTTGAAGGTCAGTGATGAGCGAGGTAGTGTTATGTTGCCAACGTTTCGGGGAAGGGTCAAGACGATAACAAATCTAATACTCTCTTTCCTAAACACATTCTAATTCCATGAAAGTATATGTGTAGAACAATTAGTTGACCCTATAGTCGATAAACGTATGCTCACCGGCTCTATCACTCACAAATTTCTTTAGTGGACAAGGCGACAAAACGTTTCAGCTAACCTGAGACCATGTTGGTTATCTGAGTTTTCCCAATAAGTCAAAGAAATAAAACACGGACACTTGGTAAATGCAATGTCAGGAACAAGTAAAAGATTTTGTCCAACAAAACGCTTACTTTCTGTCGAAACTGTCTCCGCATTTCGACAACATGGAATTGGTAAATATTATTCAGCTCAGATTTGTTTACCATTGACTGGTGGGATATGTGAAAAAGGTGGAAAACGACTCGTCCAAACGGACGATGTGGTTTTGTTTAGTATTTGTCCTATTAACGTGCTATGGTCGTTTAAGGACGGCCTCCCCTGTGTGTGTATGTTTTCGGAGGCTGCGATTGGTTCGGTATATACTAGATATGCTACCTCACCGAAACATACTGCCGAAGACACCCAGCAGGACACCCCACCCGGTCACAATATACTGACAACCAGTCGTCCCACTCCTAACTTGCTGAGTGTTAAGCAGGAGTAGAAAACTACTATTATTACAGATTCTGGTATGTCTCGGCCAGTGGACAGAACCGAAAGCCTCCTCACAGGGGCGAACGCTCAGCTAAAGGTCAAAAGTGAGGCATTGTCAAGGGAGACATTATGAAGAAGAAAGTTGTTAAGAAAGAAGAGAAAAGACAAGATCCCAAATTTAGTCGCCTCATACGATCATGCAACAGGTACAATTCTTACGCCCTACCTGCAGGGTATCCAAACGGACGAGAGAGGACATTTTTGATAGTAAATATTTATTTTTAAATCGGCGTGGCGGAAATTTAGAAGTGGAATATGTCTCAATCAGAGGTCAATGTGGACATTGGTTCATCGGTTCATTGTAGTTTACACCGTTGTAAGCGTCAGGTCGCTTCTTAAGGTGCTTCTGAATGTAAACCACTCCACTTCCGGTTGCGTTTAGAGTCATTTTGAGTAGACATTTATTACTCGATACTAGAGAAATGTATGTACATGTGCAATAGGTGGTAACATAGTTGCATCATAGTTTCTTTTGAAATAGGGATATTCAGTTATAACAAGGACTAACAGATCTGTATAAATCACAAGTATTAGGGAAAATGGTTATTATACTATTTACTAAATACATACTCATTGTGAATGATTTCAGACCTGTCAATGAACTTTACTTGAAAGTATAGATAATAAAAGGTTTCATGGGTTTAAAAATGCTATATTTGAATTGGCATTAGGAAAGCCTATACGTATTTCCCCAGCTGATTAGTAGAAGCTTGGTTCAAGCTTGTTGGGGTGATTGTCCCAGTGTTTGTTTAAGCTGGTCTTAAACGAAAACAGGGATGGGGCAATTACTACTACATCAGAGAGACCATTCCAGTTATTTACAACGATTTAAGCTGATTACTTCTACACCTTAGTTTTCCTATTTTCTGTTTTTCTCCTCTGGTTGCTCTTGTTACATTAACCTTTAGAAAGTCTTCTTTGATGTTATCTATCCCATTTATTAAGTTGAAAGCTTGCACCACGTCTGACCTAAGTCTCATGTACTTCATAGTGGGTAGCCCAAGAGTCTTGCGTCTTTCAGGATAGGAAAGGTCTTTGATACCAGGGACTAGTTTAGTGGCTCTCCTTTGGACATTTTCAATGGATGTTTTATCCTTTTTTTGTGAGTTCTCCATTCCCTTTAAACAGTTGAGTTATTTCCTCGTTTGTCTGTGGTGCGGACATATTTCCAAATGAGTTTTTGTTCAGGTTTTTTTTTGTTCAGCTAGTAATTCGTCATGGTTATATGTATTGTTACGAATTCACCTTGTTGCTAAATTCCTTGCTTATGGTAGGGTTTGAAGTTTGAAGCAGTTATCTCATTTTGATCTTAACTGCTTCAAGAGTCTTCCTGTCGAGAATATGGTGGTCTTTTCCTTTTCCCGTTCGTCCTTTACTCAATGGTACATTTTGTTTAACAACTTAAGATGTTATTTCAGTAAAGAATTCCCAGGAATCGGTTAGATCCATAATGTTCATGACACCCCACTTTACTTTTGATAGCTCCTCCCTAATTGCTGTGTAGTCAGCTTTAAAATAGTTGAGTTTTGGTTTGCGCCAACTTTGCCTTCAGTGTAACATATAGATTTAAAAACTAACGATAGATGCTCACAAAGCCCAATACTACTTTTATATGCCAGGTTATCAGTCATATTCTCTTCATTTGTAAATATGAGATCTAGAACTGTTGGAACGTTTCTCTCCACGAGTCTTGTTGGATACAGCTCATGTTGATATAAAACAAAACGTCGGCTACTTCTAGGAATTTCGTAGATACATGTTGTTCATTAGCATCAGCATCCAGTTGACTTCCTTGAAGTTGAAATTTCCTAATATGAGAAATTTCTCTCTTTATTGTTGAGCTGATTGTATCTTTCTAGATGTAATTTCTGGCCCAAAGATCGAATATTGTGTTTTTAGGAAGAATCTCTGTTATTGCAATAATATCAGGTTTTGTTTCTTCAACAATATGTTTGAGTTCTTCCATCCTCCGTGTTAATACTTTAAAATCGACATCCTCCGGATTAGACTAGTTTTGCACAAGACTGGGTTCATCCCTGGATTGTTGCGAGACTTGCAGTCAAACGATTACAGTTTCATCGGGTTCAAGCATTGATTCCTGGCTGGAGGGTGCTCTTCTTATAGCCGTCACCTGACTATTTATGACCATATTGGAAATTGGGCTCATATCCCCAATAGTACGATCATCCACCCCTCCGGGTTGATATTTGTCTCACTGTGTGCATCAATGATGGTTTCGACTTCCATGGTATCTACTCCCTGCCCAATTGCCCATTTGTCTGGTTTAAACATGTTTTTTTTCCTAATCTGAATATATAAGGTTGAAATGTTTATGCTAATGGTTAACGTTCTCGTATAAGAACTGAATTGAATTGGTCAGACATGTTTTACATACTTCCACACGGGATGTCCAATGCTATTACCGAGGTTATAATCCATTCGTCCAAACAGAACTATAGTCTTTTAAATAATAATCGCCCATTGTGCTCCGATTAAAGACTCCCAGGCAGAACCATCCTCGATATCCACGGGGTTATGCTCACTTACGCTCTCTTCACCCCTGGGATATGTATATGTCATAGCAAAATTGAAGTCATGAAAACAGCTGTTGGATTGGTCTCAGTTAAAAAAAAAAAAAAAATCGCTAGGTTGATACATGTCATTTGAAGATTACAAAGGGGCGACACCCGACATCAAAGTAATTCAATTTTCACCGTTACGCGACCGCGAGATTCTTTTGATGTACATCAAAGGATCGAACTAGTCTTCTTGTCTCATCAACAAGGTGGCGCACACTGAGCCTTCAATTTTGCTATGACATAATATAATTAAGCGTATAACCCATGGATATCGAGGATGAGGCAGACCACTCCCTTTATACAATCCACTTGATTACGGGGGATTCTTAATACCAATTTAAAGTTAAAATCATTCTTTATACTCAATTTGCCCAAGGAAAGTATACATACAAAAACGGTGAAAAAATCTCCTATGCATCAGGAAGTAGTCTTTTAAAGACGTATCCTGCCTTGGGGAATGCCTCCGAGCTTCCGAGGATGAAATCTGCATACTTTTTTGTTTGCACCAATAAATTGATAATTTCCCCAAAATGTCCAGGACTTGTATTTATATCTAAAACTTAGCTACGGCACAGACAATTGACACTGCACAATATGACATTACAATTTTATTTGATTAGATTTGTTTGTTTTTCTGTTTTAAAAAATGACACTCATAAAATTTTAAAGTAATTTCGTCCACAATATTTTCCGAGAAACAAAATTACTAAATAAAAGGTAGGCGCCCTCATGTTCAGTATTGTTTCTCGACAAAGAATTTTATGTTGATCGGCATTTTTGTGACTTGGGATCGAAGTAACTTTCTGTACCAAAACGAATCCAATTTCTTTATTATAATTTGCATTTTCACAAACACACCTCCGCCTTGGAAAGGGTCAGGGATTGAACCTCTTTGTGTTGAAGTAGGGAACTTGTCTACTGTGATACCGGTCATACTAGCTAAGGATAATAGGCGGGAATGATTTCAAGATGTCTCCCGTAATGTTTCCCTATAATCTGTCAGAACACAAAGATATCACGCATTAAGCAGGAAAATAACACTTCAACAAATGTAAATATTAAGGAAGTGGTGGGACTCTTTGCTTTAGTCCATATTTCCACATTATTACTGCAGTATCATAAATGGGATATACGATAAAGATGCAAATAGTATTATTAAGCCATGGAGCAGTGTCACCACCAGGAATAGCTCAATACGGACACCGGAAAGATCTTCTCACACAGGGCCAAATGGAGCTTGATACATAATATCTTCTCGCCCAGAGCAGCCAGACCTTTGAGCTATTTGCCAGAACCCGTAGTCACCTCACCAAACACAACTACTTTCAAGAACAGACTGGACAAGGCCTGAAATGAATAGGAGCTGAACATGTTGTACAATCATAGAGCTGAAATTCGAACAGGGTAACATGGAATTGATAGACCAATCCTGGTATTAAACGACGAGTTCGGTGTAGAAATAAACTGTAAGTAACTATAAGTAAGTATGCACTTTAAGTACAGTACTGAGAAGTTTTCTCACGAGTTGTGTCATTGCTCCCATTAACTATAACAAGAGATCCCAAAGGGATCTTGGCGCCCACCATTGTACCAT